AAGCAGGAAAAAACCTTCACTAAGGGTAAGAAGTTGGAGTGTACCCTTAAGTTTCCAGGTTGTGTGGGTGGCCGAGAGCAAGATTTCATAAAAGGATAGCCGACTAGGGAAAAATTCTAGCCTTCAGAAGCAGTAGAGATTTCATCTTGCAAAAAAAGGAATGATGTGTTTCGGAGTATAGAGAGGAGAGACAGAAAAACCTGATGAGGAGTTGTTTCGGGTTGAGATGATATGCTTCCAGTTGAATAAAGGGTTATTGGAGGAAGGAGTGGGCAAAGAGGAGTTAAAGAGGAGGAAAATTTGAGAGGCTAGGATCCATGGAGAAGATCCTCGACCATGCCGCGGGGGAGGAAAAAAATGGGGCTAAAGGTCGGAGGTCAAGGGAAAAAAGGAGGCTAAGACAAAGATGATTCAAGGAATATAAATCTTAATTGTTAACGTTATCAAGCTTTCATCAAACAAAATTAATTATATCCATAAAAAGGAGGCATCAAGTAAAACAATAAACCACTTGTTTTTTTTTATTTTAGAAAAAAATACTATACATGAAATCAACCCATGCAAAAAAAATTTAGATCTCAACAAACGTTGGGAACTAATAACACGTCCAAATATACAGGTCTAGCACACAAAAAAAATAAAAATAAAAATACTTTCCATTTCAATAAATATAAACCATTTCAATAAATATATTTCTATACATAAACCATCTTAGATATACAACCGCCCAAAAAATTTGAAAACAAATCTTTTTACATATCTACATATCTTGGAACCCATAAATTTAAAAAAAAAAAAAAGAAGATTTTTACATATCTAATGAATTGTATATATATATATATATATATATACTTGCTAGATCTTTCTTCAAGCCACAACAAAACAACCCGTTTGTTCTTTTAGATTGGAAAGCTTTGACGAAAACCTTGAGGTGTAGCCGATGGAAAACAACGAGCAGATTAGAACAGGGAGCTCAGGAAGCGCAAGCCAAAGCAATGATAGGGATGTTTCATGTGGAAGACAGGGTAGGATAGGAAAAAAATAAAAAAAGAGTTTGAGACTAGTCGGGTTTAGAGTGCCGACTGGCTAAGTCAGCACCACTGGACACATTTAGTTCCCACTGTGAGCATAGAGGTGTCAAAATGAGTTTTTTATTGGGTTCGGGTCAAGCCTAAAATTGACCCGTCATCATATGACTCAATCAGAACCCAACCCGTCTGGACCTGTATCCGACTCAGTCCGGGTCGACCTAAATTGACCTGCCAACCCATTTTTTTATTTTTTTCTTCAGAATAAACTAATTAAAGTAAATTAACCTTATTTCTTATATTATTGAAAACAAAGAAATTTTAAATGTTTAATAACTTATTAAATACATTAAAAAGTATACCATCAAAATTATAAATCACAAATTCCAAATTCCAAATTACAAAATTCAAATCACAAATTACAAATCACAAATTAGAAAATTATAAATTACAAATTATACACCACAATTTACAAATTACAAATTTCAAATCAAAATATACTAAATGTAAACTTGAAGAACTCTGAAGTTTTTCCTCATGGATATTGGATTTTTAACATTGATTTTGCTTCAACCATCCAATAGATTTAAGTTAACTGCAAAAAAAAAAAATAAAGTTAATTAGGTAAGATTATAAATTCAGAAAGCTTCAGTAAATATTAAATATCTTTCATCAAGCAATGAAATGTGAGTCAACAATGAACAATTTTACTATTACGATTTTATCATCTAAGGCGATATTTTGTATTATACATAATTAGTACTTAGTATTTGTTTAATTAGATGATAACATAAATGTCACCTGGTTACAATAATTTTTTCCATAAATAATTTCACACTTAGCTTAAAAGGATCATTGCAACTAAGCTTTCAGTCCTTTTTAGAAATAACATAAATAACCATAATGAGAATGCAACAAGCTAGCAAGGTAGAAATGTTAGAAACCAACATTTAGAAAGATGCAAGGTAGAGATCAGCAAAGATAACTATCACAATCTAACAACTCAGTAAGGTTGAAACCAACAAAGAGTCCAAGTCAACTCAGCAACTCATCAAGGCAAAAACCATCAAACCAACATGTCGAAGAAATACAACCTAGCATTAGCCATTAATAAACCAACAACAAATAGTCAAACATGACAACAACTCAGCAACCCGTAAATACAATAACAACAACCAAACAACTCAAAAACTATAACAATAACCAATTAACCACCCAACAATATAAGTAATACCAAAATACAATAACAACCCAAGTCCTTACTCCCTAGTAAGGTATAAACCAACATGGAAGCAACCAGCATCAAATGTTGGGTCGAGACATGTCACAATCCAGTTAACATGAACTAAAACACAACTCATAGTAAATAGAAATTAATAACCACAATCGAACAAACAACTATATCACATGTACTTCTCTTTTTTAAAACTAGAAAAATGACGTTTTAAGTCGCCAATCTCATTCTTTCTATCACATTGGTAGATTGCACCTTATATTTTGGATTCACATCTTTGTTTACCATCAATATGTAGATGTGACATCTTATAATGACTCCATACAGAGGAAGTCATCCTTCTTATTTTCTGAAAAATATTTACTTTAACATCATCATCACAAATATCAACATAATTAGTGACTACTTCCACTTCATCTCCTTCATTAACGACATGTACATTCTCAAGAATAGGAGTACTATCAACAGCAATATTGGACAATACTCCATCTAACAAATTAAATTAAACATAATTATTACTTATTAGTTACAATTAGTAGTACTATTATAGTACATAATTAAACAACCAATTCCACATGAAATTGTATTGAACCAAACAACCACACAACCACATAATCAAGATTCAAGACAACCAAAGTTGCAACTATAACTAGAGAGCCACACAAGTACTCAACCATTTTAAAAATAGAAAGCCATTTTCAAACCAAGAACCAAACAACAATTTTTTTAACAAGAGAACCACACAACCATTTTCAAACTTCCAAGTACTAATCATTTTCTATAACCAGAGAACCACACAACCACTTAATTAAGATAACCACAGGTCCATAATAATAATTAAAACTACCAAATATGACAGAAGTATAGACGGAGTGGAACTACAGAGTAAAGAAGCATATATAGTAGCATACCAAAGATGTCACATGACAAAACTATCATATAACTACACGCTACTCAAAAATGCAGAAGCATAACTACATGTCGACCACAAGTCAACTATACAATAACACTGTAGCAAACAGCACATAGCCAGAGATTCCCCATTTCACCCTAAAATATAAACTAGACTTGAAGAGAAGTTTCCAATAGCTTGTAGAGTAAAAAATGTTAAAAACCTTGATTTAAAAGTTGAAAACCCAAATTCCAAAAACACTTTGATTGTTAAAGAATGTCTGCGATAATTGGAAGATGAGGTGAGAAAACATGAATCCCAGTAACCTCCATATCCATGAACACCAAAAAGGATAAATAATATAAAATCCTATGCAGGCAAAAAGATTAAAGATACAATGAGTGAAATTTAATCTTTTGGCCCCATGAATTTCCATTGAGATGTTACCTTTATGCACTGACAGCTATTTCAGAATCAATGAGTGAAATTGAGTAGAGGCCAAGAACAAAGACGTCGAGAAGAGAAAGATAAAGAACCGAGAACAAAGTCGACATAATGAACATCGTAGACAAAAGAGTTATAAGGCTTTTAATAAAAACCGAATCAGTGAAGTGGCCAACCCGACGTAGCACGACGCAAGTTAGCAACTCAAACGCATGGTTTGACGGGTCAAGTTCGTGTTTCCGTATCAACCCGAAATCGATTCGATTTTTGAAACGGATCAGCTTATTGAACCCGAACCTGACCCATATGAAAAACAGGTTCGGGTCGGGTGAAGTCTTGACACCCTTATGTGAGCTTTTTTAAATTGATTTTAATTATACTTGTAATGTATTTTTATATAATAACTAGTTATAAAATTTGTCCTATTTTCATTTAATAGAATAATACTATTAAATCCTGATCCCCTCATATAATTGATAGGCTGCTAATGGATCCCCTCAATTATAGTAATTCCTGTCATCTTAGGTGCAGCACAAATGCTTTATTCCATTCATTTGAGAATTGTTATTGTCTTATGGTAAACCTAAGAAGACAATCTATCCACTTTTCTCGTAAATAAATAATAATACAATTCTTAATCTGCCTCTTTGTGGTCCTCTTTTCTATCTCTTTTTTATTTTTATATTTTTCATTGTATCACCTATGAGCAAATTTAAATCCAACACAACTATTTCAGAAAATTGTAATATTCGAACATTTTCATATGGAGAAAATTCAAATGTAAATAGGCCTCATAGTCACATTCAAGTCTCAATTTTCTTGGAGAGTTGGTACATTCAAAGTGGAAAATAAATATTATTAAATAATTCAGGACATTTTGACATAAATCATATTCGGATAGACTTGGAGGCTATCCTTTTTTACGCGGAGATTAGTGCAACACATGATATCAAAAAGGTTCTATATACTCGCCCATTTAACTTATGACCGGTTGTTCTTCATAGTTGTTCGAAAGTCGAAGAACTTTAAAACAGTGGCTTTTGATTATAAAAACAAATATATATATATGTAACACATTGAACGGAGACTAATCGTTGGATTAGAAAAAATGAAACCCGTAATCCAATCCATATGATTCGTCACCAGCTCAGAGGCTTAATAATTTTTTTCTGCTTAATTAATATTTAAACAATACCTATTTAAAATTTTTGACCTTTTAGTGATAAAATTAGTGGATATTCTGTAAATAAATAAAATTATAAATAAAAATTACTAAAAAAAATGTACACTCATAATTCGGACAGTTATCCTAATCCGGTGACACAATAATTTCTCTACAATCAAAACCGATGAAATGTCGCCATGTGTTCACGGTCCCACACCATATAAATTCAATAGAAATCTCTCTCTCTCTCTTCCCCACGCTTCCTGTCAATGGGAACGATAACATTGGAGCAGAGCCGAGCAAATGTTAACCTCTCAAGCCGCACCACTTTCTGGAAATCGCTAAAATATCAGCTAAAGGAAGCATTCTTTCCCGATGACCCATTCCGGCAGATGTCCGACCATCCGCCTACGCCGCTCCGTCGCACATGGAGCTTCCTCTCCTACTTCTTTCCCGTCCTCGAATGGGCCCCCAAATACAAACTCACTCTCTTCGCCTCCGACCTCCTCGCCGGAATAACCATAGCAAGCCTTGCCATCCCCCAAGGCATCAGCTACGCCAAGCTCGCCAATGTTCCTCCCATCATCGGCCTCTGTAATCTCTTTGATCTTAACATCAAGGCATAATTGATAGAAATTGATTGATGGATTTTAATTGCAGATTCGAGCTTCGTGCCGCCTTTGGTCTATGCTGTTTTTGGGAGCTCGAATAATTTGGCGGTAGGGCCGGTGGCCGCGGCGTCTTTGCTGCTTGCTTCCAGCATCCGCGGAAAAGTCTCGCCGGAGGAGCAGCCGGAGTTATATTTGCATACAGTGTTCACGGCGGCGTTCTTTACTGGGCTGCTTCAGCTGATATTCGGCATTTTTAGGTGAGGAAATGTGCGTCGATGAGGAGATGGGAGGGGGAAGCTAATAATTTCTTTTGTCTTTACTGACGTTACAAATATCATGATTTCATTAATAAAATAAATTTTTTTTTTACTTTTTTTTAATTGATCATACCAAATAATTATTTTTTTATATTTAGCTTATGCTTAATTAATTACATATTTAATAAGCCGAACAAGAAATAAATTTTAGTTGTTGGTTAATTGGTTTGTTTGGTAAAATAGTGTTAGAACATCTAATCAGAAAGCACAACTTAGATTGCTCTGCTCACTTATTCTGGCCTCTTAAAATGGAGAAATTATTCTGTCAACAAATATTCAATTATGAATGCGTTTTTACTATTCTTTTGCAAAAGAGCAACAAATATTCAATTATTTAGGTTAAATATTTGATGTCCTTTTTACTCTTTTTGCAAAAGCGCATCAAATCTGGACGATTCTCTCCATCCGGTATCCGCGGAGGATAATTAGCCCTTAAACTGATTTCCCAAAGTTTTATAAAGTGTCATTAAAAATATGATTTCGATTTAATTTTTTAAAATATATGTAAACCCTGTTTTGCAGGTTAGGGATACTAGTAGATTTCTTGTCCAGGTCCACCATTACAGGATTCATGGGAGGGACGGCGACGATCATTATTTTGCAGCAGTTCAAAGGCTTGCTTGGTCTCCAGCATTTTACCAACAAGACGGATATTGTGACGGTGCTACACGCGGTCCTCGCAAACCGACGAGAGGTTTGTCTCCTCTTGCATACGAAATTAATATAAATTTATTTAATAAAGGAGATATTTGAATTTTTTTTATTTATTGTTTTACTGAGCTGCTATAACTTACACATAAATAATTTAAAATTAAAATAATGAATATAGTATTAAATACCGATCCCTTTCATATAATTGCTAGGCTGCAAATGGATCCCTCCCCTCAGTTACAGTAATTCCGATCCTGTTGTCGCAGTTGCTGCACAAATGCTTAGTCAATTCATTTGAGAAAGATTAAATTAGCATTTGTTCTACTTATTGTTTTTGGGTAAGCCTAAGAAAGTAATATTCTGTACTATTTTCTATTAATAAATAATAATAGAGTACTTAATCTGCGTCATTAATTCTTGTCCTCTCTTTTCTCTATCTATTTTTTTATTTCTATATTTTTTCATCATTATTAATAAATATTACTCTGATAAACTATAATATTATTACACATATGCATAGCGTGAATGTATGAAAAGAAATCTTAACATTACTCATTCTATCTCTCTCATAATCAATTCCTACAGCTCTTGTTACAATTCAAAATCATCCACCGACCATTCCTCTGATATCAATTTATCACGACCTAGTATTTAAATGTGAAAGAATTGCCTATTTTATCCTTAATGAGTTTAGTATAGCTACTAATAAATACCCATATAAATAACAAACTTTGCGGGAGTAAACTTTCATTTTTTTGTATCTTCAAAACAAATACATTTATATCTCATTCTCAAAAATCATATACATTAGCCATGTATTAATTTCTTTCTAATGATCAATCTATTTATAATACATCTAAGACTACAAAAGAACTAACAGAAATACATAATACATGAAATACCTAAACAAGAACTAGAATCTATTCTACCTCACTCTAATGGATCCTTACTTTTTTTCTAAAATTATGAAAAAAACACAATGAGCAAAAGCCTAGTAATTCACCACAACCTATCACTACACCTAATGCATAGAAAGAAAAACAATATGCTTATATTCATTCAAGTCATATTAGTAAAATGCATCTAATGGATACATGTAAATAGTAACATTCATATTGAATCATGATCATGAATAATATGAATTATAAGAAATTATAGTCTTGCAATGGACCAGTAATCATTGAATCGGCTCTACATCACTATTATATAAAGGTTACAGGAAGATTATAAGGTGAATTATTACAGTAATACAATTATATCTTAATTATATCAGTTATTAAAACAGGGTAGCAACATGAATATCATTTATAAGATCTATCATTCACTTATTTTTATCATATATGTATTTATATTTATATGATATGTATTAGTTTTATTATATGTCATGCTCTATGTGTCATGTAACCTATGCATGTACATATCATCTTTAGTAATCATGTCATGTATGTATATAAGAGTGCATATTACTATAAGTCAGGACATTTAGGTAATCATATGATATTTTTAGTATCTTATCATATATTTTCATATCATATCATGTATATGTGTGTCATATTGGGTGGGATTGTAGTGCTATAGTCCACAACACTACAACACCGTTTGTAAAAAATCATGGTTACTATAGAACAAATCATAGAGCGTTGTTTTGCTAGCTAGTGCAATGACATAACACTTTATTCAAAAATTTCAAATTATAGAAAGCACCACTCTCATTGAACTCACCTTTGGCTATACTTTAGTAGTAGGCTCCTTTGAGCTTGCCTCATTTGTCCGCATCACTAAGATCACATGCATTTTGCCCTACTTTATATTTGCTCTCTTTGTCAGAGGAGGAGCTTTTGGTTCAATTGACCACTACAATATCAAAGGACCCACCTCAGCTACCCTCACTTTACACGATCAAGATTCGAGGTTCAGGGCATCACTCACCCTTCTTTTGCTTGAATAACTAAAGAACCTCTCTCCTCACAAGCTTGGTGTTTCAAATCATTAGCTAGATAGGGTCCATCTTCACTACCTCATGGCATGTTAACTAAGAACTAAGAGGTCAAAGGTGAAGGAGTTGTATCCCTTGAATCACTACTTAAAGTAGAAGAAAGTAAGTGGCATCATATCAATTCATGATGAGGAATCCACACAGCACTAAGACTACAATAAAAAAAAAAACTATTGACTTATGTATTTATTATCCTTTTTCCAATTTAATATTAATAATAAATTATCACCATTCATTTACTTGTCATATTTGTATTCACTCTTCAATTGGTCATGTGAATCAAGCAACTAGCTAAATGTATACTCGTATTAGTCGTATATATTTTTTCAAGTATTCCACAAGTATGTAGTGGTTTTTAGTATACCCCTAACTCGATGGACCCTAGAAGTGTTATTCAATTGACCACTAGAAGTGTTATGAAGTCTAGACCAAAGATGGTTGCTTCCTCTCCAATAAGTGTTATTCAGCAGAAGGCCGTGTCTTAAGTTGTTAGGAAACTCGAGAAAGTCACCCCCAACAAGAGTTCCATATATTCATATAAATCACTTAGGGGTCTTATGCATTCATATCCCCAACCAAAGCCATCCCCAAGCAACTTACTAACATGCAAGCTAACATGTAGCTAATGGCACGCTTGGATCTGCTCATAGGGAAGGCTTACCCCTAAAAAGATAGAAATATGCCTTTTCATACTCAAACAACCATACACTTAGAATCAATGTAGCTAATTAAGTGGGCTCATCCATTATATTCACATGGCCCTAGAAGTAGACCTAGGAGTTTTCAAGGTGATCAAAGGATTCATCACCACAAACTCATCTAGCATAGCCTTCTCAAGGATTCCCCTTCATCGATTCTCCCACAACAACCCAGCTAAGGGAGATTTCCTTGAAATGCTTAAAAAAGAGGAATCGTTCAATGCACCCTTTAATTTGTGACATGTTCATGTATAGTTTGTACTATGTCATATTTATAGCTATACTTTTTATCTTTTGTTTAATGTATATTTCTATATGACCCTTGAATCCTAATAAATAAAAGGTGAAAAGACAGATTTTGGATCTTTTTGAAATATTACTTATCTATTAGATCTTCGAGATTTCCTTAATATTTTCCTATATCCTTAAAATCCTCTCATTTATTTCTCATATTCACTCAAAATTCTCATGGTCTTCTCTCATTGGCTTGCTTTTTAGTAAGGTTAGATGTCGTCAAAAACACAATTGGATATAATAGATGAACTAATCTCAGTGTAAAATTAATGACAATTAAATAAGATATGATTCCTATCATGTCGTCCTACTTTTTTCAAATAATTCATTAACCAATAAGGCATCTTTAATGTATAGGAAGTAAAAGAACTAGTCACATTTGTGGGAACCTTTTGTATATGGCCCAATTTATGCTTTATATTTTCACAGATTAATCGCTTATTTTGATGATTAGATGTGAATAGTAGCTATGAAATTTTTAGGGGATTTAAGCTCCCTTCTTTTTATAAGTGATACATAACAAAAAATTGTTATTATTGGGCACGAATCTTGATATTTCTAGAGTTCTCTTATTCTCTCAACTATCCGTTTGTATGTTGGATGTTTGTGTATTACTAAGACGAAAAACACTCTCTTTCTACCATCGTTAATTTATCAGTATGCAACAATAAGGTGAAAATGGTTAGTTGATTATAGCAAAAAAGTTGGGCATGAACTACTTTTTTCATATCATAAAGAGCCTTGAGTCATTTATTCCTTATTTTAATTATAGTTGAATAACCTTTTCTTAGAAATGCTTTTAGATATACAATAACTAGGCTAATTTTTAATGGGTAGAGTGATATAATATTTATTTAAAGTTTAAGCAGCTTTTTTTTTTATGATTTTAGTTCATATAATTTAATATTTTTTTCTTAATTTGAAAACTCAAAATTACTTTTGATAAGAATTTTCAAGGAGAAAATACAATAAATTACTGTTGTAAAAGGTTTCAAGACAAGAATTTGAAATTTTTTAGTTAAAATTTTATTATACGGATAGCTATTTATTTTTGTAATATATTATTATATTGTTAAAATGTATACATTCTTTTATCAAATCATTCTGGATGATTATATCTTTTAGTTTTTTTATGTTACCAACAATTTGGCAATATTCAGACTATAAAAATTCATTTGTTTGTGGGGCAGTGGAAATGGCAGAGTGCGGTGTTGAGTTTGGGCTTCCTCGTCATTTTACTTTTAGCGCGACGTTTGGTACGTGCGGTACAAATATTGGTTTTCTTATTTCTTTTTACTATATTATGTTCGACATTTAATTATTATTTTTTATGATGAAAATAATTGCAGAAAGAAAAGGTTCCGAGATTATTTTGGGTGAACGCTATTTCTCCGCTGCTTGTGGTAGTGATGGGAGGAATAATTGCGTTTGCAGTTGATGGAAAGGACCACGGAATTCCGATAGTAAGCTCCCTTTGCCCTTTTATGTTTTGAGATTTTAATCAATTTAACAAACAATATATTTTAATTCAATCACAAAATTTTATAATTATGTTAATCATTCATAAAGATATTTCATTATATCTTTTTTTGAAAATATATTTTTTTTATTATTAAAATTTTCATCCGAGTTTTAATATCTAATATTTTCTCAATATCAGTGCATCTTTCTCAATCAATTCTGAAATATAATTTTAAAATTTTATCGTCAAACATAGACAATCTGATCATAGATATCCCACCCGTTTTATCTTTTGACTTATTTCAGTTTTTAGTTTTTAATGTGGAGAAAATTTTTTGTGAGGATACTTGGATGATTTTTATTAGTATGATTTTCTTATTTTTTAATTTATTTTTAGATGTATGAAATAATAATAATCTTTATATTATATTCATCTTAAAATTGATATAATTGTTACATACTAGAACATTTACGGTTGTAGAGAGATAAAGAGCTTAATATCTTAACTTTGAATGAAGATCAAATGCACATATAGATAAAAGAGATAGGCACATATAGATCAAATGCACATATAGTTTTGAATGAAGATCAAAACTAAAGATCACAAGGCCCATAATTATGGAAAAGGAAATCATGCAAATAGAGACCGACCACTCCAGGAGTTGGATAGATCCCATCTTAGAGTGTTTGAAGACATAAGCAATAAGAAAATTCTTAACCTCGTAAGGAAGAAAGTGGAATGAACAAAGAGCAAGTGGGTGGAAGCGCTACCCTCTATCTTGTGAGCATTCATGATTAATATATTCTTAACCACTAAACACATGCCTTGCTCACTTGCTCACCCTCCTATGGTGCCAAGGCATTGTTACCTATGGATCTTGAGTTATATAGCCATCTAATTGTCACTACTATTAATTAAGAAGAGAACAAAGTTGGAAAGTGGGAGACAAAGAACAAGGAAGCCCTAGAGAAATCAATTGACAACTTAAAAGAACATAGCATAAGCATCCCTTAGACAAGTGAAAGGAAAGAAAAGAATGACCTATTACTATAAATTGCATGTCAAAAAAAAAAAAAAGCCTTTCCAAGATTGACTAAGTTCTTAAGAAGTCATAAGTTGTAGTTCACCAATCGATCCTTGATAAATTATTATCCACATGGGAGAGTCCATACAACTTCAAGAAAAAAGTCAGTCCAAGAGCCTACTAGCTACTCGAACTCAAAAAATAAGGTGTTAAGGACATAGAGCACTTACAACTTGTAGAGGTTTTACCCATAGGGGAGTTTTCATACATATACTCTTTATTCAAAATTCTGAAATACAATAAAAGCTATTTTCCTCTTTTCATTTCTTTTATAATTTCTATATGAGCGAGTTCTAATACAATGAGTCAATAACTTATAATTTATAGCTAACTAATACAAGGATGGGGGAATTTGCCCTCGTAAAATTGATAATGCTTGATGAACTCACATATTCTTGAGGCTAAAATAAGGGAATTATCCCATTCAACATACTCTCCCTAATCTAATGCTAGGGGAACTTTTATAAGCAACTTAAGTAATAAAACCCTAGGATAAGCTTGTACTTGGTGAGTTACTAGGCAACTCGGTAATAGTTTTGAGAAAGTAAATCACTAGCCTCAACCACTTGATCTTGCAATAATAGAGGAGGTCACATCCTTATCATCTATAGAGTCTCTTATAAAAATTGTGATCTAATTCTATAACTAGCTCCATAAGCTAACTTGTATTGAATGAGAAAAGAAAGATGATAATTGGTTTAACCATACTTAATACTGACCAAAACTAGGAATAACTAACTTGCCTTATTAATCATAGATACATATCATCAACACCAAGTGCTCAAGTCCTCACATCAATCCACCAAGCCCTGTAGGCCAACTCACCCTTTTGTGACAAGATCCCTAATGAGTCCCCTATAGTCGAATAATCTAATGGTTACACCCACGAAGAATGTAGAGTGTGTTGTATAGTGAGAGGACCACTAAAGTTAATGAAGATTCCAATTAATTAGTGAATAGCCCTATAGTTTGACTCCCTCATTTGTGAAAAGATCCACAATGAGTTGCATGTGAGTCCCCTATAAACGATGAGTCTAGGTGGTTACCCCCATGAAGACTAAGGTTTGCCCAACTAAGAAATCCTCCCATCAAGCTTTTTTACTAAAACCAATTCACGATAAGCGCTCTTTATACAATGCACAAAAAAGTTATTACCAATTGACTCATCTGCCTATTATCAAGAAAGTAGGATCACACGAAACCATCCATGGATGTTGCCTAGTACAAAACATAGAAGATTTCATCAATTTTTTTCATATTACTCTCATAACATGCAAACTAAGAATTTACTCATATGCTAAGCTCACTCATAAAAAAAAAAAAAAAAGATAGTCTCACCCAAAGGAAAAAACTTTAATAATGCATGAAGTATTACATGAGCTCGACTCAAAATAGAAATATTTCAATAAGAACAAAACATGGTGTGAAGCTACATGCCATCATAAACAACTCTATACTCTTGGTCACTCACCATCTCAGGCGATAGTGCCTAAGAAGAATCTTCCTGTAACAATCCGAACCCTTAACTATTGAGATATTGTTCACTTTAGTCTAAGAGCCTCACAAGTTATCCTCCAGTTAGCTAGGAGACGACAGGTGTCTAGGATAATCTGTACTACTGTCATTTAGTCAATATATTTTTTGTATTCTCTCATATGTGATCTTTTCTTTAACCTTCATATCCCTATAAATATAAGATGAAAAGAAGCATTTTGGGATCTTTTGGATGTTTGAGAATTTGAGTCACTTGAGCATTTCTCTATAGATTCTCTGCAGTACATTGTTGTCCTTCCATTCTCATGTAGGGTCTAGATTACCCCTCGTATAGTTATCCTGCTAGTAATGTCCATAATCATCTACGGACAGATTTGGAACCAACAAAGTGAATTCTTTTAAATATATTAGAAATGCTTTTAAAATATAACTTTGTACATGCTTAGTCAATATTGAACCAAAAAGCATTATCTTTTAGCTTTGATATTGAAGCATTAGTACTGTTCTCACGATTAGATTATATGATCCTTTTTTTTTCTTTTTTTGTGTTTTCCTTCCAAAAAGTCATGCATCACTATTCTCGTTACTTTTTTTACTGTCTGATTGAATCGTTTGTATTAATTTTGAATGCTTATTTATGCAAGGTGGGCGACTTAAAGAAGGGATTAAACCCAATTTCGATTTCGCAATTACAACTCAAATCTCCATACATTTCAGTGGCTATGAAAGCTGGTTTGATTTCAGGCTTCATAGCTTTAGCGGTACGGTGTAGAGAGACTGCAATTATGTTTATTTTCTTTTCCCTATTATGTATTCGATATGCACTCTCCTCAGCTTTTTGTTTATGATTGCAGGAAGGAATTGCAGTTGGCAGAAGTTTGGCACTCTTGAAAAACGAGCAGACGGATGGAAACAAGGAGATGATTGCATTTGGAATAATGAACATTGCTGGTTCATTCACCTCATGCTATCTGACCACTGGTAAATAAAAGTTATGCATTTCTCACTCGTACTCTTGCTTATACTTGTTGATGTAACTTCTTCTTTTCTTTTGGGGCTCATTTCTGTTCTTCACGTTCGAAAATATGCCTATCGTTTCTTCGTTCAGGTCCCTTCTCAAAATCTGCAGTGAACTACCATGCTGGATGCAAGACCCCCATGTCGAACGTTGTTATGGCAGTATGTATAATGCTGGTACTTTTGTGGCTGACTCCTCTCTTCAAGTACACACCACTTGTGGCTCTTGCAGCGATCATTGTAGTCGCCATGCTTGGACTCATCGAACTGCATGAGATGAAACATCTTTTCAAGGTTGATAAGTTCGATTTCTGCGTTTGCATGGCCGCATTTTTCGGAGTTGTTTTTGTCAATATGGAGGCCGGCCTTCTTTTATCAGTAAGGATGCTTTATGATGATCGACTGTACACAGAATTATAGTTTTCTTTGTGTTTAGTTGGTTGGTAATAAGGATTTGGCAAACTAAAGTAAAAGTTCCATCTTACAGGTAGGTTTGTCCATAATAAGAGCACTGCTACATGTGGCCAGACCTACAACTTGCAAGCTCGGAAAGGTGACGGGAACCGAGCTCTACCGTGACTTGGAGCATTACCCGGATTCGACTACCATTCCAGGTGTCCTAATCTTGCAGCTGGGTTCACCCATCTATTTTGCCAATGCAAATTATTTAAGAGAGAGGTAGAAAAACATCACAAGGCTTTTATTCCTCTGATCTCCCTTGCTCTTCTTATGTTTTTTTCTTGCATTCTGTACATTATCAGGATTACTAGATGGGTAGAAGCTGAAGGGAACATTTGCAAGGAGAAAGGCCAGGATTTGCAGTACATTGTATTTGATATGGGTGGTTAGTTTTTTACATTGCTTATATGAATTAGGATTTGCAGTACATTTTGTATGTTTTTTTCCTTGTGGTTTGCAGGAGTGGCTGCCATTGACAACACTGGCATAGGAATGCTGTTGGAAGTCCATCGAATGCTTGGAAAGAAGGAGATTCAGGCAAGTCACAGATATCATTATAACTTGAAATAATATGTCAATTCCCAATCATTTTATAGAAATTGAAATACATATATATAATTATACAGGTTGCACTAACAAATCCAAGGTTAAGAGTTGTGGAGAAGTTGGTGGCAGCCAATTTCATCGATGTGCTTGGAAAGGAGTGGGTATTCCTTTCCATTAGCGATGCAGTCTCGGGGTGTCGATTTGCTCTACGTCAAGCAGATAACCAAGATGAACTGCAAGTTTAGCTGGTTCATCCTTTGATGTATCAATGCTTTGAACTGGATCCGAACAACTATTTTTTGTGTGATGTTAAATAATAATAATAATATATATATATATACTCGTCCGCCCAATTTTTTTTTGGAAAATGGGGTGTTGACCTCATTTTCAGCAGAGCAAGCAAAATCACCTCGTCAATCATTCTTGAAAATCAAAATGGAATTGTACTCAAGCTAGTTGTAGTCAATTTGATCAAATCAATAAAATGCAACGATGTTGAATCGTTTCGACCCGATTTGAGTTTGATTCGACCTCGATGTCGACACCGATCGTGAAATTGAGTCAATCGATCATTTAATTAAGTCGAGTAAAGCTTAAATGAAACAAAATTCATTTAATTTTAATCAAATAACGAAGGTTGCCAAACAAAGCGATGACTGTCCAAAATGGGGTGTTGACCTCGTTTTCAGCATAGCAAGCAAAATCACCTCGTCAATTATTCTTGAAAATCAAAATGGAATTGTACTCAAGCTAATTGAAGTCAATTTGATCAAATCAATAAAATGCAATGACATTGAATCGATTCGACCAAATTCGAGTCCGATTCGACCTCGATGTCGATACCGATCGTGAAATTGAGTCAATCGATCATTTAATTAAGTCGAGTAAAGCTTAAATGAAACAAAATTCATTTAATTTTAATCAAATAAGTTTGATTAAACGATATCGTGTTGATTCAACTCGAATTGAACTTTTTTTTTTCTAATTTTTTAAACTCGACTTGAGCTTAAATCTATTGAACATTCTAAAATAGGTTTAAGCAAAATAAATGGGCTAGGGTTGATAGAATATGAACATTTAAGAGGTTTTGACCATTTTAACTATTTTTTTATTATTTAATGGGTTTAACCGGTCAAACTTGATCAAGTAATCTAGAGTAGACCCAAGGGAACCTTTGGAGTTTGGTTGAATCAAGTTCATAGGTGTTTAGCTCATAGGATTTGAAATTTACATAAAGGGGACTATGCTTGATTGGGTTTGACCAATTTCTATGAGTTGTCTAAGTAAAGTCACCTTGAATGTCTTAGGCTATGGTTTAGGTATAATTAAGAGGTAAAGTGGACTTGTTTTGAATAATAGGGCAAGTCCAATTGTTCATATACCTGGATATGACTAAAGATAGATTGATTTGACAAGCCTTAGATTGAGTTGATCTGGCCAACCTTTGACCAAGGGATATGTGATAAAAATGTCTAATCCTTCAGGAGATTTCAAGGGTTTTTACTCGAGTCTGGTTTTCTGGAAGAGGGTTAATGAAATGGCTTAACCTATTGGGCTAGTTTGAGCTTGCTCAAATAGGTCAACTAGGTCAACCCTTATTTTAGGAATTTAGGGTTGATAAGTTTATTATATAGATCTCCTAAGGTGAAAATTTGGAGAAGGTTTGAGATTAACAGTTCAATATCAGACATAATATCATCTACTAGGCATGTTCAATGTGGACTAGGGTTTTGATCTGGCTCTTGGATCAACTAGGATTGGGTTTAGGGTTTAAACTAAATTAGAGATGTTTAAATTTAGTTTAATGAGTTTGGAATTCAATTTCTAGGTTCAAGTCATCTAAACTAGTCATCATATGCAGACTAAGGTGATAGGCAAGATTGTGTTTGATAGGATAGAGTAAAGGACCTAAGACATGATAAAGCCATGTGACACTATAGCCATGTGATGTAAGGCTTTAGAAGGATTTTTATAGGTTTAAGATTTAGATTATCTCAGTCAAAAAGAGGTAAACAATATAGTGCCTTGACTTCTGACTAGCAAAGATCAGGGCTAAATAGTGTTTCTCAATTGGTAGATAATTTTGTTCGATTGAAAATAATCATCTACTTAAATAATAAAGCACATTTACTTTTCCTTCCTCATTAACTTAAGCTAACAAGATGCCAAGACATTTGCTTAAAGATGTATACCATATCAATAGTTTTCTGAAATAGGATTAGCCAAAACTAGAGATTTCATCAAATTCTATTTTCTATTTTTGAAAGCCTTCAACATTTTGATCCCACTAGAAATGAACATCTTTCTTGCATAAGGCTATAAACATTTGACATCTTTCGAATAAGTTTGATATTAATCTTCTAAGATATGCTAACTAACTTTGGAAAGATCTCAATTGAGTGAAACTTTAAAGTGGTGGCATTTTCTAGATTGCTTTTATTTTACTAGGATTAATTTTAATTCCATAGTGTCTTACTATGAAACCTAGAAACTTCCCTGATGTAATGTGAAAGGCATACTTCAAGTTGATCATTTTAAGATTATAATAATGAAGTCTTCAAAAATAATTCTCAAATCATGTAAATATTCTCCCATTTCATAATTTTTAATGACTAGATCATTGACATAGCACTCCACTTATTGGATGGACAAATTCATAAAAAATTCTCATCATAGCCCACTGGTATATTTCCCCAGTGCTCTTTAGTCCGAATGGCATAAGCATGTAACAGTAGACTCCTATTAGTGTACTGAATACTGCATACTTTTCATGGTTATGAGCAATTTTAATTTAATTGTATTAGGATGAGTCATCCATAAAAGAGAATATTGCATATGAGGAAGTAATATCTACAATGAATTCTGGTTTAGACAATGAGAATTCATCTTTAGGACTCTTTATTTAGGTCTTTGAAGTTAATGGAGACATGGATTTGACCGCTTTTCTTCTTGACTGAAATAATGCTGGCAAACCAAGTCAAAAATTCCTCTTCCGCAATGAAACCAACTTCAATTAATTTCCTAAGTTCAAAAATAACTTGTTTTTTTGAATTAAAGTCGCAGATACCGAGGTGCTTATGTTATGGGAATCTTATCAAGTTGAATTTCTAGATTATGAACTACTATATTCGGATATAATCTGGATATTTATTCATAACTCTAGGAAAAATAGTATTTAAACTTTAAAAGCAAATATAACCATTTAATTTTTCTTTACTCATTTGAACAAGAACTTATAAAAATCGTACGAGCATTTTCTTCTTTTCCTATGTTTATTTCTTTTAATTCATCTATAGTTAATATAATATCCTCTTTAAACTTTTGAAGGGGGGCGGGGCCATCCCTAATGAGAAGTCTTGTAAATCATCTAAATTCACTAAGCATTATTCATCATCATCAAATGGATAAAGAGTACCGAAGTTGACAACTACTTTTAATTTTGGTTGATTTCTAATTATTGAGCTCACCTCTTATCCAAGGTGACAATGTTAAAACCTTGCTTAGCAAAATTATTTGCATAAGTAGAGTACTAATCAAAATATAGTGTTATTAATTCATTTAAAATGGATCGTCAAGGATTACATCAATTTCTATAACTTTTCTTATGGACGGGATAAACTTGTTGGCTTTATAATATGGATTCACATAAGGAGAGACATTCATTTATAACCCGGTTATATCATTTTGAGATAATGGGATAAGTGTTATATTCTCTACATACTCCTCTAATCCTTCAAAGGTAAACTTTTCTGGATTATCTTCTTCAATAATATAGAACCTGTTCTCATCACTATCTGCTTCTATAAAAACTTCAAACTTTGGTTGTTCAATAGTATTTATATAATCTACATCATACTGATTTTTCAATAAGTTTTATAGGCATCATTATTAACATACACTTTTTCTTTATTTTGATTTTTTTATTTAACCATCATTTACCTCTCTCTCTAGCTCGTTGAGTCATTCTACTACCTCTTACTGTAATAGGGTCAAGACACCAATGAACATTGTATTTCACATTAGATGCTCTATTTTTTTCTTTATCTTTCTTCATTTAATTTTTCCTTTTCTTTTTTTCTTTTCTTTGCTTTTCTTTTTTACTTCTTCAACCAGTTTAAAGTTTTAGAAGAAGACTATCTACTTTTTTGGTAGATAATATGAAGCATTTTTGTATATACCAACTTCATGAATTGAAAATGATTATAGATTATATTTAATACACCGTTCAACACCCTCAAAAGAGTATTTGATATACTGATGAAGAGTGGAAGACGCCATTCTAAATTCGTGAAGTCAGGATCTTCTTAGGAGGGTATTAAAAGAAGCCTATAAATCTATTATATAAGACTTGGCTTTGATTTTTAGGCTATTTATTTCTAGAAGAAGGGTTAATAAGCCCAAAGCTCTCTGGCATTTTTCACTAAATCCTCAACATCATTTTATAAGCGCTAAGTTTACAAGTATCCATTTTTAGGCAGGAAAGCTTTATAAGAGTCATAATGTTGATCGATGCACCCGAATCAATAAGGATACGAGACAACTTGAAGTGGTCCAAATTTATAGATATAAATAAAGGGAAATTATGAGAAGCAATTTCGAACAATAA